TCAAGCAACTAGCTGAGCAAAAATAATCTGTATTTTAAAATTTGTTTTTAATTGAAGGATAATTGCCTTACAATGTTGTTGGTTTCTGCCATACAACAAAATGAATCAGCCATAAGTATACATATGTCCCCTCCATCTTCTATCTCCCCCCCACTCCCGCCATATCCCACCCCCTAGGTTGTCACATAACTCTGACCTGAGCGCCCTGTGTTACGCAGCAAGAAGTTATTTCTTTTTTATTTGTTGGGTCATTCAGCAAGGATTTCATGGCAAGAATAAAATGCCTTTTTTTTCTGTCCCATTATCATCTCCCATTTGCATTTTTTCCTCTACCCATACTCCCGTTTCCCCAACCAGAAGGGTTGGTCCACAGTTATGAGGCAGCTCTATAGAGACACAGATTTAGTGTTTCAGAGTTGGAAGGGAACTGAGACATGATCTAGTTCAGTTTTGCTATCTTTTGCATTTCCTCTACTAAAAAACATTTCTCCTTCCTAATAAGATAAGGTCTTAGTATGGTTATCTTACCCCATGTGATTCTAGCTAACAGCCTTTGTCACATTCTCAACAAAATAGGATCATATATTTTATTCAGTTTGTTAGCATGGTATTTTAATATAAATGTCATTTTATATACATTTAAATATAAGTTTTATATTAAAAAGAGAAAGGAAAGCTCTTCCTTACAGTAGGAAGTTGGTAATTATAGTAAGAATGATTAAATTAGAAAAATATTGTTTGGCAACTACCATAATAATCAATTCTGACAGGAATCATCCATGGAGGTTACAACTATCAATTTAAATTTTGAGGAGTAACAGGATATTTACATAATCACAAAGTACCCTTCTTCCCCACAAAGATCACAATTAATTCTGAAAGTAAAATTATAACTTTATTCTTAAGTAATCTGGCAGAAATGATTGTCATTGACCTCACTACTAAAGGGACAAATGTATAGCAAATACCTCCTGATATGATATACTATGAAGAACAAAACATCATTTCTGAGCTTGTCCTGCTCAAGATGCATAACCTGAATTTAATGAGAAGGAAACGTCAGACAAACTCAAATTAATGGATGTTCCACAAAATACTCAGACTGAAATCTTCAAAAACTTTATTGTCCTAGAATACAAAGCATGGCTTAGGAAACATAGTAGATGAATAGAAACCAAACAGAAATGACTATGCAATGCATGATCCTGGACATTTTTTTCTTGCTATAGATGATATTATTGGATTACTAAAACCTAAAATAAGGCTGCAGATTAGCTAATAGTATTGTATCAATGTTAACTTCTTAGTTTTGATAACTTTATTACAGTTATATAAGGAGGTTTCTTATTTTCAGAAAAATGTACTCTAAGTAAGGAGTGTAAGGAAAAGGGGAATTATGTTTGCAACTCATCATGGCAACAACTTATTCTGATTTAGAAAAAAAAAGGTATGTGTTTGTGTGTATGTGTATGGGAGAGAGGGAGAGGAAGAATTATAATATATATAATGATAACATTTTCGGAATCTGAATAAAGGGTATACATGGTTTTTTGTACTACTTTTGTAACTTTTTTGGAAGTTTCAAATTATCTCTAAATTTATAAAGTCTGTTTGATGAAGCTTTAGAAATGTATCATGAAAATATAAAAACTAGACGTTATGTCTTTGTATTTTTTTTATGTTTAAAAGCTTTTATATGTTTTGTGTCAGCAGCAGTAAAATTTCTGAATCAGAGGTGACCTCTTACGATAAAATACTGTATTATTTTTCTATTTAGTTTTTTTATTGCTATGATGACTTGTTTGGAAATTAATGAAAGTTCTGTAGCATCAAGATCACCCATAAATTCCTCAATTGGCATTTATAAGTCTGTGGAGCAGGAAAAGAACTGATTTGCAAACCAGAAGACCAGGATTCTATTTTTGGTTCTGCCATTAACTAAGGAAATTTCTGTATTCAGGCTTTTAGCCTGTGAACTTGGCCCTTCAATGGAAGGTGAATAATTTGGAAGTGAGTAGAAAGGTATGAATAGTTAAAATTACATTTTAAAATACACATTAGAGGAAAACTGTTAGGATAAAATACAAAGAAATTTTCTAGACCATTGTAACTTCTCAAATGTTTATTATTTTTTAGTATCGTTATGTGTTTCTTTGTAGTGACAAGTAGTAAAATCCTTAAAACAAAAAAGTGTGCATGTATTTAAAGAATAGAAGAGTGGAGGCTGTAAAACATAAACCTATTTCAGCATCTGCCCATCAAAGTGGGAGATCAGGCAAGAAAATATGGGAATTTATGTTTAGGGAAATGGAAAGCAAATAGCATAAATCTTTGGAGTCTAGAGGAAGAATGAAATGAATGGGATGGGTATGAATGCAGCTGACAGCATCAAGACAAGGCTTAAAGAACAGAAGTGACTACAGTAGATGCCCATTATCCTGGGGTATATGTTCCAAGATCCCCAGTGGGTGCCTGAAACTGCAAACAGTATCAAAGCTGAATCTGGTGGCTCAGAGTGTAAAGAATCTGCCTCCAATGCAGAAGACCCCGGTTCTGTCCCTGGGTTTGGAAGGTCCCCTGGAGAAGGAAATGACAATCCCTTCCAGTGCTCTTGCCTGGGAAATGCTGTGGACAGAGGACCCTGGTGGGCTATAGTCCACGGGGTCACAAAGAGTTGGACACAACTGAGCCACTAACACTTTATATATGTTTTTTCCTATACATACAAACCTATGATAAAGTTTAATTTATAAACTGGGCACACTAAGAGATCACCAATAACTAATAATAAAATAGAACAATAATAACAATATGCTGTAACAAACATTATATGAATGTGGTCTCCCTCTCACTCTTAAAATATTTTACTGCACAATTTAATGCCCTTTCCATCCTAATTAAACACTTATCACACACTATGGTCATAGCTTTTGTAGTTTGAGGTGTGGCAACAAAACTAGTACAAATTTCTTTTTCTTTCTTCACAATTTCTTGGGTATACGATTCTTTATTAGTATTATAGGTCACAGCAACTTCAATACAGAACTGATTTTTTTCTTTCTTAAGTTGAGAGCTTTATTACTTAAAAGAAGCACTTTATGGCTTCACTATGGCTTATCTGTATTGGCAACATCACTTCTCTTGAGCTTTGGGTCCTTACTGAGTAAAAGAAAGGTTTCTTGAACATAAACACTGTGTTCCTGGGACAGTGATTCATGTTCGTGGCCAGACAGAGCTTGAGATTTCATCACACTACTTAGAAAGGCTGGCCGTTTAAAACTTAGGAATGATCTGTTTCTGGAATTTTTCATTTAATAGTTTCAGACCAAGGCTGACCTGTGGGTGACTGAAACCACAGAATTGAAACCACTGAAAATGAAGCTGCAGATAAGAGCGGAACTGCTGTAGTTCACTCTCGGTTAAGAGAACGTTGGAAAAAACAACCTTGCTGTAATGGAAGACACTCAGCTTTTGATGTTAATATGAAAGCAATGAGTGAAAATCCAACCATTATTTACATTTTATCCTTTAACACTTGATATGTTTAATATTTCATTTCAGTTGTTGCTAACCTGGGAACAACTTCCATGTAATTAAGTTTACTTGGTTAATGCCCTCTGGATTTCTAGCCAGAAAAGTCTAGTGACTCTGGAATTGCTTGTCAGATTCAACTACAGTATCTCACATTAGAGATTATTTTACAACAAATTTAGAGCACTGGTGATTGGCATCTCCTGCCATGGGGACCCAGTGAATATTTTCTAACAGCTCACTCCACATTTGTTGTGATGCTTATAATTTCTATTTGGAGAACTTATTTTCAATCATTTGCTTTGATAGACAGGAATTGAAGTCCAGAGAAGGAAGAAAATAATAAATCCTTTACAAAAAATACTACTTAACTTCTGAAATACAGCTTTATTAATATCATTATTATTATTTGTTTTAGTGCATTATTTATTCTCTGGTTCTTACCAAAAGGACTTAAGGTGGCTTACAAGAAAAGTCATAATAATATCTGGTAGATAAAACATAAAAGGAAACAAAGTAAAATAAGCAAAAGGAGAATGAGACTATAAAATTTAACAGTTTCTATAATAAATTTACTATTTTTTCCCTTAGCATTAGGGAACCTAGAGATTAGCAGAATGAAAATAAGTTATATAGACCTTATTGTCAATGGAAAGGAAGTTCATTGCTACCTGAATTTAAATGAAAATTCTAACCAGCTTGCTTTTTATAACAGACAAATCAATCAATGATGTTGTTTTAGAAAAACATGTAGTACCACATTTAAACTTGACTGTTTTTGTTTGTCTTACTATCTTTTTGTTTTCTTTTTTCTTTACAAAACTAAAGCTGATTTTTGTAGTGGCTAATGAGACATGATTCAAGTTCACAGCCTTCCAGTCTTCTAACAATACAAGAATATCTGGATCCCAAAGGAATGTGTACACAAGGAAAAATATTAAAATCAAACCAGACTACACATGAGATAAATATTACCTTAAATATTACTCAAGCTAGAGTTTTCATGTTGAGTGGAAGTAAATTGGAGGTTATACTCTACAGAAAGGATATAGAGTTCTGATACTCTGTATTAAGCTGGGTTTGCTTGAATTTTTTTTCCATTCTCCCTTCCCTTTAGATATATATGGAAATACTTTTAACTGAGATTATGAGAAAGAAAATATGTTCTCTGAACTCTTTCAAAGATTTAACGAGGGAGGAAATATTAGGGGAAGGGTGGCGGTTCTGGCAGTGAATCCAGGCAGCTCAAGAATAAGATCGACGTCAGTAGTTACTCTAGTAATTATATTTTATTATAAACACAGGAAAATATGAAAGCAGACATGGCTTTTAAAACTTGGTGAGGTTAAGCGGTAGATCCATTCAGAGTACGTTTGACGTTTGATTTCAATATGCCTTGGAAGCTGCAAAAGAGAATTAGTCCTGAGAAATAGAGACTCAAACTTTGTCCAGCAAAGCTTGAGCTTTTCTCAGTTTTTCTTCAGAACAAAGCCTCTCCTGGGAAATGCATCTCTCAGAGCTGATTTAACATCCTGATTTCTCAGGCTGTAGATCAATGGGTTCAGCATGGGGGTTACATGGTTATTCAATATCTGGATTATAGCGCCAAGCAAGGCACTGGGATTGGGCTGTAGATAGATGATGATGACTGGCCCATAAGCACAGAGAATTGCAGTCACATGTGCACTGCAGGTCGAGAATGCTCGCTGCCTGCCCTCTGCTGAGCGAAGTTTTGATATGGCAATCCCAATGCGGGTGTAGGAAACAAGAATGAGAAAAAAGCAAATGAGAGACAAAAGACCAACATTTGTAAAACCTACTCTCTGGGCTAGAGAGGTATCCCCACAGGCTAGAGGTAAGATGGCAGGTATGTCACAGAAGTAATAGCTCACCTTGTTAGAGCCACAGTAGGGCAGCTGGAAGGTGAGGGACGTTAGGATAATGGCATGGATACAGCCACCCATCCAGGTCCCTGTGGCCAAGATGGTGCAGACTCTGTGATTCATTATGACCATGTATCTCAGAGGAAAGCATATGGCAACAAAGCGGTCATAGGCCATCACCGTGTATAGGAGGCACTCAGTACATCCCAGGAAGTGGTAGAAGAAGAGCTGGGTAGCACAACCCTGAAAAGAGATACCTTGACTCAGCCCTGAAAGGTATGACAGCATCTTGGGAGCAGTTGTTGATGAGAAACCCAGGTCAAACACAGAGAGATTCGCCAAGAAAAAGTACATGGGGGTATGAAGCCGAGAGGAGGAGATGATAGCCGTGAGGATGAGCACATTTCCCAAGACAGTGCACAAATATAATGATGAGAACAGGAAAAAGAGCACAGTCTCTAGGCCCTCTGTCTCAGGGATTCCCAGCAGGATGTATTCAGTCACCACTGTGTGATTTCTCATGTTTATGGAAGGATCAACTCTTGGGTGTCTGTGAAAAGAAATCTGTGGTTAAAGTGAATATATGTGAACTGGCTGTGTTTAAGACAGTAAAATGGAAAAGGAGCAAATAATCTCAATGTAAACAGACTAGTGCTTCTTTTTAGAATTGCCTTGATCGGCCCGCTTCTCTCCATGCTGGATCTCTCTTTGCAGTGCAGTTTCTGCTTGCAGTTTCACCAAGAAATCCTTACATGACAACTCTCCTATCTTTCAGGCTTCATATACACTGCTAAATTGTATTGATTTTGAATGCTGCTTTGTGATTCTAAAAGGACTAGTTTAAAGATGCAAGAAGGTCCTATTAATGAGAAGATGACAAGGAGCACAGTCTCCAGTCCCTCTGTCTGGGGTATTCCCAGTAGGATGAACTCATTCAGCTCTGTGTGGTTCCTCATGTTCTTTGGAGGAAGGTCTAGGGGAGACTAAAGACAAGGAAGCATGAAGGTGCAGGCTGTGAAAGACACAATACCAGTACATTCATCGTCACTCTGAATCCAAAAAGAAATCAATCCTCAATATTCACTGAAAGGACTGTTGCTGAAGCTGAAAAGTTTTGGCCATCTTACCTGAAGAGCCAACTCCTTGGAAAAGACCCTGATGCTGGGAAAGGTTGAAGGAAAAAGAAGAGGGTGGCAGAGAGTGAGATGGTTAGATAGCATCAATGACTCAATAGACTTAAACTTGAACAAATTTTGGGAGATAGTGGTGGGTAGAGGAGCCAGGCATGCTACAGGCTATGGGATGGCATAAGAGTCAGACATGACTTAGTGACACTAACAACTACAACCTTTGTTTAAACATCAAGATGATGTTGAAGTTAATTAGAAATTCTACCAGGAACACTGAGAGGCTAGGAAGTACTTTCCTTGGTGGCTCAGTGGTATTGAATTCACCTGCAATGCAGGAGAAGTGGGAGACTCAAGTTCAATCCCTGGGTCTGGAAGATCCCCTGGAGAAGGAAATGGCACCCTATTCCAGTTTTCCTATTGGGAAAATCCCACACACACACTGAAGCCTAGTAGGCTATAGTCTATGGGGTAACAAAAGTGTCAGATAAGACTTAGTGACTAAACTACAACTTTATGGCAGTAGACAGCTCAGGAGTATGCATATTAGAGACTCCTTTCCAATTTTCATTTTTTGAACGGCTCCATATCTTTTCCAAATTGCTTTAACTTTTCTAACACAGTGAAGTCATAGAATCATAGGTCAATCCATCAATTCTACTGCCTAAAACCCTATCTAGCTCTAGCTCTGTGATTACTTTATTTTATTTTGGTGGTTATGATGGGTGGGAGAGAGTGAGAATCAATTATTTTTAAAAAATAAAGCACAAAATTTGGGAACTAACAAGGCAAAGAGGGAACATAACTGGCTGGTGCTATTTGAGTTGAATGTCACTTTTCTCTCCTACTGCAGGAAAAGGAAGCAGTCTTGTCCTGCAGAATTCTCATCTGCTTGCAGTCTGCTGGTAGACCTTCAGAATTCTTCTCTTTTCCCATCACTTTCAAACAGAATGTCAAAAATCTCAGTGTGCTTTTCTTTCTCCAATATTATTTCCTCTTTGACTCTAGGAACTGCAGTAATTCCCAAACAAGCTTTAAGTAACCTTGGTCTTCCTTTGGGTGTTAATCCCCCAAGTCAGAGAACCTATTAAGCAAGGAAGCAATTAACTGCTTGGTATAATTACACCTTAGCAACGAGACAGAAAGAGAAGGAAGCTGATTAAAGATGAAATCTTTTATGATTATCTTCGTAAAATACACATCAATGGAATAATAACATAATGTAAAAATTCATTTGGCATACATATCACATATTTATAGGTACATTTATGTATTTACTTCTTTTTCATGTGTATATGTTGTTTTAATTAATGAATTATGTTATTTTGGGGCTTACCTGGTGGGTCAGATGGTAAAGAATATGCCTTCAATACAGGGGGCCCCAGGTTTGACTCCTGGGTTGGGATTTCCTCTGGAGAACTGAATGGCAACCCACTCCAGTATTCTTGCCTATAAAATCCAATGGACAGAGGATCCTGGTGCCTACAGTCCATGGGGTCACAAAGAGTTGGACACTACTGAGCAACTAACACATACATACATACATACATATTATTTTGATACTTGTGTCAATAGGATGGATTTATTGCAAGAAATAGTAACTGTGGTAGCTTCAAAAACTAAAGAAGTTGATGAAAAACTGGGCTCATGGAAAGCTAGGAACTAGGGCAGCTCCTCAACAGCAAGAACTTNGTAAGAACTTGTGGTACATCTTCTGGGCCCTGCCAGCAGGTGATTCAGACTCAACTGTGCATTGCTTTTGGGAGCCTCAGATTCAAATCTGATTTTCTTGGCTGAATCTCATGCCCGCCTCTGTGGCCAGGGTACAGGGTACAGTGGAATAGAAATGGGCAGTCCTGCAAAGGGTGGGGAAAATAAAGGCCTAAACTAGGAGAAATAGGAGGAAGAAACATGCTAAGAGGCGAAAAAGAATTTTAAGCTAAATTTGAAGTATGTGTTTTATTGTACTTGGTATCTGGGTACTTTACATTATTCCAAGTACATCTGGAATTTCTATTTAAAAGGTAAACAATATTTTTGTTGCCTATCTAACTGATGCTAAAAAGATGTTAAAGTTAATGATTCTACTGTCTTATTTAGTATTCTTGCCTGGAGAAGTCAATGGACAGAGGAGTGTCATGCAGACTACAGTCATGGGGTTGCAAAGAGCCAGACTTGACTGAGCGACTTTCAGTTTCACTAGGGTGAGGAAGGCTAGGAAGGAAAAATAAATAGAAAATGGAAAAGCATTGAATAACTGGAGGGAAAAAAGGAAGTATAAGAAAGGAGGGGTGCTTGGAGGGTTTAAAGCAGGAATAAGAGATAATATGGGAACATTCTCATATATCAGAGATGCTGAAAGGAAAAAGAGCTGAGGTAAGATGTTTTGGTGTGTTTATGTAAAAGGTCAAATACATATTTTAAGAATTTCAGCAAAATTGCTATATTGAGTATAGCTGCATGATGGTTTGAGATGGAATCCTTATCTATCCACTAAAAAACTGTTATTTATAGAAATTTACACAGCATCCCTTGTTTTATCTCTATAATGTGATCTAGCACTTTTTGTAGATAAACTAGGTAATACTTGTGAAGAAATTACATTACACACTGTCTGTTACTGAGTTAGGACATAAATAATAACTCCAGGAAGACCCCCTGAAGCCTACCTTATGCTGGATTTCTCAGACTCTTCTCTGCACCAGACAGAGGTATTCAACAATTTAACGGTGATTGGAGTGGGTTCAAGAGTAGATGAAGTTATAAGAAAAAGGAGTGAATTAGCAAACTCAAAATTCCCAGGATATGTGAGAACCAGATAAGGAGGCTTATTTTTATTCATTTTTGAAAAAGTTTTTATTTTATATTGGAGTATAGCTGATTAACAATGTTGTGATAGATTCAGGTGGACAGCCAAGGGATTCAGACATACATATACATGTATTCATTCTCCTACAAACTTCTGTCCCATTCAGGCTACCACATAACATTGAGCAGAGTTCCCTGTGCTATACAGTAGATTCTCCATTTAAAATATAGCAATGTGTACATGTCCTTCCCAAAGGAGCTTCATTTTTAAATAGTGGAAAAACAATACAAAGCATAAAATTTGCCATCTTAACCATTTTAATTATACAGTACAATAGTATTATATATATTCATTCTACAGTGCAACCAAACTTTAGAACTTTTTCATCTTGCAAAAGGAAACTATATAGATTAAACAACAATCTATGTTCCTCTTCCCCAGCCCCTGGGAATCACCTTCCTACCTTCTTACCTGTCATATAACTACTCTAAACACCCAGTATAGCTGGAATCCTACAGTATCTGTCTTCTTGTAGCTGCTTATTTCACTTAACATAATCTCCTCAAGGTTCATCCATCTAGTAGCATACAACTGTGTCAATTTCCTTCCTTTTTAAAGTGGGAATAACATTCCATGTTTGTGTATACCACATTTTGACTATCCATTTATCGTTAATGAACATGAATAGCTTTCACCTCCTACCTATCTCTTGTGAATAATGCTGCTTTGAACATGCTATAAATATGAATATTCAGGACCCTTTTGGATCTATACTCAAAAGTATAATTGGTGTATCATTGGGTAATGTTATTTTTAAATTTATTGAGGAATCTCCACATTGTTTTCCTTAGTGGCTGTACCATTTTATAGTTTCCACCAACAGCATACAATGGTTCCAGTTTCTCCACATTTCCCCCCCGCCTTTTTTGTTCCAGTAAAAGCCATTTTAATGGCTGTAATGACACCTTCTTGTGAATTTGATTTGCATTTAGTTAGTGGTAGTGATATTAAACATCTTTTTATATGCTTGTTGTCTTCTTTGCAGAATGTCTTTTAAGTCCTTTACACCCTTTTGAATCAAGTTACTTGTTTTTTCAAATTTATTTTTAATTGAAGGATAAGTGCTTTACAATATTGCCTTGATTTCTGCCATACATCAACATGAATCAGCCATAGTTATCCATATGCTCTCTCCGTTTTGAACCTCCTTCCCACCCCCGCCCCCATCCTGTCCCTCTAGGTTGTCACAGAGCACCTTTCTGAGCTCCCTGAATCATACAGCAAACTCTCACTGTCTATGTATTTTATGCATGATAATGTATGTTTCCACGCTATTCCCTCCATTTGTCCCACCACTCATTCCCTGCCTCTGTGTCAACAAGTCTGTTATCTATGTCTACATCTCCATTGCTGCCCTGCAAATAGGTTTGTCAGTACCAGCTTTCTAGATTCCATCAGTTCAGTTCAGTCGCTCAGTCGTGTCTGACTGTTTGCGACCCCATGAAGAGCAGCACGCCAGGCCTCCCTGTCCATCACCAACTCGTGGAGTTTACTCAAACTCATGTCCATCTAGTTGGTGATGCCATCCA